GCAGCTCCCGCTCACGGTATTTGTTCCATTCTCTCACGCAATAATGCCGTTCAATGCGCGCCACCTCCGGCTCCTCCATCGCACGCTTTGGGGGCCGACACCCTGACGTTTCCTGACCCAATGGGCTGCAGTCACTCGTGTGAGATGTCTGACCGCAGATGCTCTTGTTCAAGGCGCAGATGTCACCATGTTTTCCGCCTCTGCCTTGCAATCCTTCACATGTGCCTCCCAACTCTGGACTCGTCTCCGCCTCTCGCTTGCAACCCTTCACATTTGTCTCGCTCTGGATTACTCTGCCCTGCAATCCTTCACATTTGTCTCCCAGCTGTGGGCTGCGTGTCGCTTGCAATCCGTTACATTTGTCTCCCAGCTCTGGGCTGCTGTGTCCGCCTCTGCCTTGCAATCCTTAAGTTTACATTTGTCTCCCATCTCTGACTGCTGTGTCTGCCTCTGCCTTGCAATCCTTCACGGTCCTTCACATTTGTCCTTGCAATCCTTTGCATGTGTCTCCCAGCTCTAGATTGCTGTATCCACCTCTGCCTTGCAATCCTTTATTTGTCTCCCAGGTTTGGACTGCATGTCGCTTGCAATCCTTTACATTTGCCTCCCAGCTCTGGGCTCCTGTGTCCACCTCTGCCTTGCAATCCCTTGTCTCCCAGCTCTCGACTGCTATTTCCGCCTTTGCCTTGCATTCCTTTGTCTCCCAGCTCTGGACGTTGAAAACTCTAGTTGCAGAGCGATATTGAAAAACACAAACTGTTTGGGGTCTATGGTGGTGTAATTGCAAGAAAAGTTTTGTCAAAGGATTGAAGATTGACCAAATTGACCAAAATGCAAAGTTTGGTCAGGATGAAATTGCCTTATTAAGAGATCTATAGAGATCTTCTTTTTGGCCACCGTCACTGCAGCGCTGCAGACGTTTGGTCAGGATCACTGTTACACAGCCGGTGGCACGGTGGTCACTGTTGACAAATAGCAAAGGAACACCGACCACTTGGAAATGGGCAAAAGCTAGTAGTAACAGGTGCCACGCTAGTAGTAACAGGTGCCTTACTAGTAGTAACAATGTTTGCTACTAGAATTCTGTACCCAAAGGCTCATTGGACCCAACCCGTTCGCTTGGTTTTGGACCGAAGCAACATGTAGCAGTTGGTTCAGGGAAAAAGGGTCGCGTCTGGGTACAAGAACAACACCTTCCAAGTTTTCCCACATGTGTTTCGTGTGACTTTCTGATTGTCCGTCGGATTCTGAGGCCAAACCGACCGTCTCACGCCGATCGTGCGGACTTCCGACTTCGACGGGTGTCCCAGGCCACTGACTGCTCCAAACTGAGAATGGAAGACCGAGTTGAGGCCTGGCGCAGCGGCTGAAAGCGCTGCGGAGCTTGGAAGGCGCGACCTGTGTATGGAAATCTGATGTCTGCAGATCGAGTTGATGGTCCAAGCAGAAAACAGTTCGGGTGGTTCCAAGATGGCGCCATCTTGAGATCCCTTTACACCGGGCCGGGGAAACATCCAGATCCGTTTTTCGGGTTAGGGTGAACAAAGAGATCGGCAAAGCGATGAACTTGGGCGAAGCTTACTGTCCACCTGACCCTCCAAAGTACCGTAGATGGGACATGAACTATCTTTAAAACATGGTACTTGTGTACCCATTTTCGAGGTACTTTGAGACTCCAGGCACTCTGAACTGTGCGATTCTTTTGCGTTGCACCTCTGTCACTGATTGTCTGCAGGTGTTTCGTAAGACTTGCGCTCTGGGATTGGTCATCAATCCAAGCGAATGGTCATCTGCGGGACAGTCGAGTCGCAAATCTCGGTGATAGCGTCCGAACCCTGATGCCGAACTCAAAAGATCTCCAACGACCCTCCCGCCGCGGAGTTCGCGAACCGTGGCAGACCGATACCGCGACTCAGTCGTTGCCCAACCGTTGGCAGACCGATACCACGTAGATACCGAAACCGATAGCGCTATCGAACCGGAAGAGAAATGAACTAAGAATCCGCAAATGAACTAAGGGCCCTCAAATCAAATAGGCCTCTGGATTCTTGAATAAGGTTTGAAGACTTCGAAAACGAAGCAAGAAACTGAGGCCATCGCTACGATCGGTGGGAGGCCATCGCTTTGTTTTCTTGACGATCGGAGCACGCAGCACGTCGCTTTCTTTCTCGGCGGAGTTTCGACGTGACGCACGAAACACGCGCTGCTGGAGAACCTGTGCGGTACGGCCAGGCTTTGGTTTTTGGATGTCAGGGTCAATGTAGCTATATCCCATACTGATACCGGTACCCTATTTCAGGGATATAGAAAATATACATATGCCCATACCATCATATTCCAGTGCACATGGAATCTTTGGGATCGGTAATCCCCATCAATGACAGTGACATTCAATAATTGTCTGCAACTTGCAACTCAATGGTACGTCCCAAGTCAGTAGGTCAGTGGAAACAGGTGGGGTCACGATCAACGACTAGTGAAGGTTGCGGAGGAACCCCTGACGGAAAATACGAACGATGAACTTGATATGATGACTCTGATGACTCTTGAAATCCCAACGCCCACCGCCGTAACCCACAGCTTCGCCCTTTGCCCCCCTCTCCAAAAACGACCGGGGTCGTCATATGGCGCCTTCTTGCTGGAGCCTAGCGGTGGTGGATGAGGGATGAGGGATGAGGGATCTGCTTTCCCATCACTGGGTGGTGAAACATGAACACCAGTCACCAAACACGACGTGTCTGGGACTGCCTACAACTATGCCGCCCCATGGACCCCTGAAATCAACCACCCCAATATAAATATGCCAGTGGTATGGAGAGTCTGGGAGTGTGTGCTCCAGTTTCTTGGACATAACCTTTCTTCGTCCGGAAAAAAGACATTTTTACAAAAATTGGACACGCGCATCGCCCCTAAGTTTGGGCGCCCCCGAAACGTTGCGGAGCCTTCTAGAGGCATTCTTCAAGAGATCTGTAATACATTCTAGTAATTTTAATGAGACGTTGATCATGTTCTGTTTTCATGATGTTCACTTTGCTGTGTGCCTGGGGTGCTTGTGGTCCCTGGCACCGTTTTCATGAATTGAACCCCTTTGTTTGCAAAGTTCAATTCTTTCAAGGAATACCGAAAAAGTAAAAAGGCTACAACATGCTACAATGCTAAATTGAAAGGGCAAAGGATGCCCCAACCCCTCACAGCCGACTCATAGCCTGTATCCCTACCCAATGAATCTTGCAGTTGATTCCTGTCTTTTGCCCCGGCTATTAGGTTGGCGGCCAGCACTACTAGGTTGGAGGCCATCGCTAGTAGGTTGAGGCCATCGCTCGCAGGTTGGAGGCTATCGTCAGTAGATTGGAGACCATCGCTAGTCGGTTGGAGGACATCGCTCGTAGGTCGGAGGCTATCGCTAGTAGGCTGCAGAAGAAGATTGTTCATTTTTTGCATCCTTCTTTCAATTCCAATTAAAGTTAAATTGATTCTAATTCTAATTCGATCTATTGAATTCTTGTTTCAAATAGCTTCTTGTTCCGTTCGTAGTACAGCCAGTTTCGCCCCGTTCGTAGCTTCCGATCGCTCCGTTCGTAGCGATGCCAGTTTCGCCCCCCGGTTCGTAGCGTCCGATCGCTCCTACCCCGATCGTCCGATCGCCAATCCGTTCTTCACATGCCATGACCGGTCACCGCCACCTTTTCTCTGCGAAGCACAAGTTGACGAGTCGACACAGCAAAGACCTAGGGGCACATCTCACAATGAGGATGTACAACAGATCTTTGATTGATCACCCCCCAAAAATGGGTTGTAGGATCTCTTAGCTTCATATACATATCTTCAATGTTAATCAATCGTCTTATAATGTATATCAAACCACACACACAACGTTTTTGATAGAGAATCCAATCCCCACACATTCCGTTCTCCACCTCCTCGACGTGATGAGTCTGTTCACCCGGACAGCCCAGCCGAACCTCAACGAACGTAGGCGCCAAGTTACGTCGGGTCCGTACCGAACCTGAGAAGGTAGCAATATGTAGCAATGGATCCCTGCCTATGGTGGCGAGTATTGGTGAGGGGCCTGTTGGTAGGGGCTCATTCCTTTTCCCTTGAAAGTAAACCATTGGTGATCATTGGTGTACGTCTATGCATCAGTCTCATCCCTTGTCTGATCCCATGCAATGACGAATGGGCCCCCGCTTGTTGAGACAAATCTATTAAGACTCGTAGTGAGCAAACGGTGCACAGCTCAGCTTTTCAGCTGATATGTCCCAACCGAGCAAGAGCACGCATCCGCCGATCCGCCTGGATCCCCCGCGTCTAATGGGACGGCTTTTAATTTTGCATACCAGGATCATCCTGTCTGGGTTTCCTGGCGTTCGACTACCCTACCCTACGTAAACTTTAACAGGTCTCCAGACGGCACCCGGACAGGAAGTGCTAGGTACATGATGGTACATGAAGGGGTGGTTGATTTCGGGCGCATGGGGCGGCATTGGCCTGTCTGGAATAGAGATTTTCGGGTGTCCGACAGTGTCGCGGTAGGCGTGTCCGGCGGACGCGAAATGGGCGAAAAACCGACAATATTCCGGAATATTCCGGATACTCCTGAGATGTCCTGAGATTCATTTTCAGGGCAGAGCTCTGCCCAGAATGAACGCAGCAGCATACGTGTGTTGCACGTGGTGCGCTGCTCCGACATGGGTGTAGGCAATCGTTCTGAACACATCAGATTGAATCACAATCATTGTTGCTGTGCTTGAGACCCTTTGGACAAGTTTGGAGGCTGCTTTTACTTTTCACTGGATGTACACATGGACAAACCCGTGCAAAAACTCTCAGAATACTTCCAGTCGAGTACTGGGCCTGGGGCACCCATGGTGGACTAGCGCATGAGATGCTGCACGCAGAAACCCATTCGAGTTAGGACTTCAAAACCCAACCCGTACAAACCAAGTTGGTGCATTAACCACCACAATAAATTTCTGTCGCTTTGGTTCATCTCAGAGTGATCACAGCTCAAAGACCGACTCTTCATCTTCATCCTTCGCTTCGAAGTCCTCCGTGTTCGCTGTGCCATGCGTGGAGAGCTCCAGGATTGGCCCCAAAGCTGCCAAGCCGTGCCGTGCCGATGGTCCCGCTCTGGATCCCTCCAACTGCGCGGCGGCCGTGTGGCCCTCGGCACCCTCGCCGTAGGCCTCGACGTGGGCGACGTGGGCACCACGTGGACTGCCCTGGGAGCAGAAGAGTGCACAAAGGCAGGCAATCAGCAGCGAGACCGGCAGAATGGGAAGCAAGTTGTCCTCCGCGGTGTTGCGCACGCACGAGGCAAAGCCGGTCCAGAAGATGGTCACGGCCAAAATGGCCACTTGCGACAGGACAATTGAAAGGCAAATCTTGGACACATAGGGCGTCCATCGCTGTCCAAGCTTGCAGAGTTTCAAGTTCAATCGGGTGGCAAAAATCCCCAGGAGGGACAGAAAGAAGACTTCCGAAAGCAAACGCATGGCCCAGATCACTGCCAGATATCCAGACATGTTCTCAGGTGGATGTGCGATCTTTGTGAGCACCGGGGACAAGAAGGGGACTTCACCTTAGAGAGAGAGAGAGAGACTCCTCGCGAAAAATCGGCTTTCGGAGTGTTTTTCAAGGGGGTCGGGGTAGCGTATGTCATTGCTCGATTCGAAGTGTGTCATTGCTCGATTGACGATTCGAGGGTGGAAGATCTGTGACTTCATGAGTCGAGCTCTAAGACTTATACCCAAACACTCCATGGGACTGCCATAGGACTGCCGATCAATTGGGGTTGACTGGGGGCCTGTCTGGGGCGGCAGTCCTATGGCAGTCCCAGATGGCCACATATCCCGGTGCCGGTGAACCGAACGGAGGACCGGGCGCCTGCCCGTCGGATGGGACGAGCCCGTCACCACCGTCGGATGATCCGATGGAACCGTGTCTGGGCGGATGTCCGGCATCGAACGCCACCGGATTTCGGGGCGCCGAAAGAAAACCGCGGGAAAAGCCCTAAGCCAGGAGTCACAAAGGGGTGCCTATTGGAGGATAGGGGTGCCCAATATCCACTCACTTGGGGACTGCAAAGCACCCCTTTGTGACTCCTGGAGCAGAAACAGTTCTGGACGCAACTCGGAGGGATCGGACCCTTGTGGAGGAGGGATCCGTCAGAGGGGCCGGGAATCCACTCAACGGAGCGTCGTCGGCTCGGTCGAGGTCGAGGAGAAGTTCGTCCTGAAGGGGTTCGGGAGACCGAAGGAAGAGGCTGGATGGTCGACCCGGGAATAGACCTCGGAAAAATGAAGTATATGGATGGTAGCCACAAGTAATTACCCATATTTTGGGGTTCCGGTCATGGCCCATTTTCTGAGGTACGAACGAAGTCGGGTCCAGGGTGGAGGCGATCGCTTCTAGGTTGGAGGCCATCGTTACTAGGTGGGAGGCCATCACTATTAGGTTCCTTATGTCTGCCAGTATATTTACCCTGACGGTCCAGGGCTGAAGGCTGAAGATCACTCAGAGCAAAGGATCGGAAGAAGGGAGACGGAGCTTCGGCCACGCCCGACTCGGCCGACCTTCCGCCACGCCTCTTTGCTTCAAGTGACAAATGCCGACCATATACCAAGTGTACTTGAGGGGGAGGGCATCGCCACCCACTGTTTGCAGAATGATGGGCGCCAACCTGTCTCGCACCATTTGGTTGAATTCCTCCAAGTGGGAATCAGCCTTGCCGTCTCGTCCAAACCATGAAGAGAGCGCAGAGAACCTCAAGCCGTTCATTGGATCCGGAACACACGTCCCGGTCCGACCGCCCGACCGTGCGAACGACACCGACGGGGCGACGGAGCGGGAGGAACGAAGCCCCAGGGATCCACAGACCGAACCTTAGGTTCGGTACGACTGGACCCGACGTTTTGGCACCTACATAGTGTCGAACACTCCAGTCGTACCTTCTCGGTTCGGTACGACTGGATCCCGGTATCGGGTGAATTGAGGAACCGATATCGGGATAGATAGAGTCTCCCCAGGTGTTCCGGGTCCTTTTTCAGGTCACGTCTCCACCTCTCTGGACACAAGACCGGGTTTTTGAGTAGAGCAGACCCGTCCGCCGAAAAGAAGAGCGTTTCACCAATGCCAAACACATTTAAATGGGATGATTCATGTGTAACATGATCTGGCTTTGCTGCGTTTCAACGAAATGGCTTTGCTGCGTTTCTTCGTGCACGTAAAAAAGGAGTCAAGGTTAGGCAAGGTTGTGCCAGCACTTCGATTCAACAGGCTTTCAGCAGTACAAATCTCTTTCAGCATTTGAGTGGCGAACGAGCACAAGACGTTCCTGAAGAACAGTGCTGAAGTGACTCGTTCACTCTGACTCACTAACATGGCAGTGGAGTTCACCCCCTGTTTGGTATTCGGATTGATCGATGTTCTGGTCATCCTTCCGGTTCCATGCTGGCTCCACTTCCATGTGTTTGTCAGAGTGCAGGGTGTATGGTGTTACGTCCTGCGATACATCAAGCAGATGGGTCTGCTGGCTAACTTGCTGTGAAGGTTTGGGTCTCCAAGATTGTGTCTCTGACTCTGGACAATGCTTGCTGCTTAGGAGCAACAAAAATCGTTTGTTCAAGCATACACCTGGAACCCCAAACCACCACAAAGAAATGGATGTTTCCCCAGTCCCAGCCATTTCCTATGTTATAAGTAAAGGATTCGATTGCCGTATTGGAACAACCAACTGTTTCTGGTTGGGACTGGGGTTCCAGGCAGGTATACTGTACCTAGAAGACCCAAGCTTTAGGGGTAGCGACGCCGCACCAGATCGAATTGCTGCTGAGGAGCACCAGCTGACGGTCACAGCCAATCTCTTCCATCCTCGGCGCTGACGGACACTGACCAAAGATCCTTGCAGTCTCAACAGCATGGTGATTAGTAAAGAAATCTTTAGTTTTCCATGGAGAAGTTACTTGCCCTTGCCAAGCCGGATACGGAACTGACCGGATACGGATATGGCGGCTGCAAACGAACCATGAACATGACACTGTATGGCCCAAAACGATGAGGAGAGCTGCCCACCGCCCACCGCCCCACGCGGTTTTGCTTTCCCCCCTTAAGAATCCGGATGAGCTCGACATCGGTCAGACCTCCACAACCCTCGAAACGGGGGACAACGGGCCCCTTTTCCCAAATCCACATGTGTTGCGGGTTGTTACTAGTAGCTTCTTGCTCCTAGTAGCGACTAGCGGTGCCCTTTGTTACTAGTAGCAACCTTTGATTGTTTTGCGGAAGGGGCTCGGATTCGGAGGTCCGTTGCTTTTGTAACTGAAACTGTTCTGCCACTCTGCATGCTGCGACTTGTCTGCCAATCGAGCAGCGTCTCTGGGTTCAGATGTTCGTTGGCACAACAGGAACTGAGAGCATCTTGGATGCGAAAGCTCTTCAACTGCTCTGGCATCTCCTGGACTGTCGACAATTCAGATCAATTCGTTGGGTGCTTCGTAGGCGGACAAAAAACACATGGAACATGCGAAGGCCAAACACCAAACCTGATCGTCCACTTTTGAAGGCTCAAGGTCAACCTGATGGATCGTCCATGGACCGCCGCTTTTTCGAACAAGAATCCTTCAGTGCATCGCTACGAACGCAATTAACGCAAGAACTGGACCCCCAAAACCGCCGCCGCCGCTCGGGGGTGACGGGCCGTTGCCTGTTCCAGTTCGAACCGGTCCCGTGCGGTTTTGGGAGTCGCGAGTCGACCCTTCTCCTGTAAATCGGTCATGAGCTGAAGGCCCAAGTAGTAGGTCCAAGGAACCATGATGCCTCACGTGAAAGAAACGACGGCAGCGCATGGCAGCGCCTGTCTGTTACACCACGGCGCGCCGGTGACGTTGTGGCGGAGGTGTGGCGAAAGAACAACGGACGTTGGAATCAAGAACTGAAATCTTCATCTGTTCGACTATTGAAGAGCCTATAGGGCCTACTCAGTCTAGAGATGAAACAACTCTCACTCAACTCGTCTTTCACGGGGAGATCGAAGCTCTTTTTTCGTAGTAACTAAGTGCCTTACTAGTAGTAACAAGGTTCGCTACTAGGAAAGACTAGGAACAAGTGCATCGCTTCTAGTAACAAGTGACTTACTAGTGATCAACACCTCCATGGACCGAAAAGCAAATATGGCATACATGGAGTGTCTGGGATATGGGCCAACTCGGGCCCGCCCTCGGACACGGTGACCCGTTGACCACGGTCGGCCACTTCCCAAGCCCGGTGAACGATGAACGGTCCGGGGGGAAACGGGATCGACCTGACTGGCCAAGCTGGCGCCGGAACCACCGTTCGAAGTGTGGCCACTGGTTGGGGCATCTTGGGACATGGAAAAATGGACAACAAACAATTATGGATGCCCTTGTTAATGGTATATAGCTTCTTGCTACTATAGTAGTAATGCCCTTATAGTTACTGTAGTGATGCCCTTGTTGCTAGTGGGACTGGATTTCGCAGTCAGAGTTTGGAGACCTTTGCCTTGGTCCTGGTGATCTTCTGCGCCGATCTCGATCGGCGGTCCACGTGTGTGAACGAAGCAGCTTTCCGAAATGGCGGTCCTCTGAGTCAGTGCCTCAAGGAAGGTCAAGTGTTTGTTGATGCTCTTTTCCTTCTTGTTGGATTTAGGAGTGTTTTTGTTAACCCCAGATTCTCCAACTGGAGCTGACTGGCCAAGTATATAATTAGGCCTATAGAACCCCCCAATCCCAATCAACTTGTCCGCAACTCGCCCACACGTCCGCGAGTCGAAATCTTCACACCGCTGGAGCACCATGCTCCAGCTGTGTGGCCACCTGGTCCGGTGTCGTGTCCGTCTGACGACCCGTTCAGAACCGGAAGCCACAGTGCCAGGATCACCAGGTTTTATGGACCTGTTCCTGGATTCATTAAGTAACATGTACCAACCTGTCGCTTCTGCCTCAGACCATTGCAAGGAATGAAAAAAAGCACCTGTTTCTGCCTCCCGAACAAGTACTCTCCTGCTTCCGGTCACACCACTAGGCCTACAAGAGAAAACACTTCATGAATAGGGAGTCCAGAAAGATCACTTCACGAATCTGCTTCCTGCCCCATTTCGGGCTGGCCGCCCCCTCCGTTTCGATCGGCCACGGTCCGTCGCCCACCCAACCCCCTTCGGAGCTGGGCCGAAGAAAACCGGTCGCCAAGACGCTGGCAAGAGCCACGCAAGCGACGCCCGCGATGGTGTTCAGGTAGGTGCCGTAGTTCCAACTCTCCTGGTGTTGGAAGAAGACGGTATCGAGGAGTGTATGTCATGTAGAGTAGGTAGGTCTGTGATGTGGGCCTCTTTTCTGGAGTCTTGGCTGCAAAACGGAGTCTTTGTCACAGGCACCAAAAACCAACTATGACTATAAAAACCAAACAAACTATGAACAAATGCATCCCCATGTGCCCTGCACCATCTGCACCTAGATCCATATGATCTACCCCCAAAAAGCGCGGTGCCAGGAGTTCTAGTAGTTCCCCGCCACACGACGTTGGGTGCCAAGTGTCGAAGTTCGACTCCTTGATCAGGTGATACCAGGCTACCATGATGCACCTCAGTGTGGCCGCGGCCGACCGTCCCCCCCCGCCAGACCCTTTGGACCCGGCATCGCTAGCAGCTACAAACGCTGCCCAACACGAGCAGTTCGCAACAAGAAGCTAGTAGTGGCTCCTGGCATTACTACTAGGAACAAGGATGCTATTTAGTAGGTGGAGGCCATCGCACGTAGGAGGCCATTACTACTAGTTACTAGTAGCAAGGACACCACTAGTAGCTCCTGGCATCGCTACTACTAGGAGCAAGGACGTTATTAGTAGCTCCTGGCCTTACTACTAATTACACTAAGTGGCAAGGAGCTACTAGTAGCTACTTGCTACTAGCAGTAATGGCCTTGTTACTAGTAGCTTCTTGGGGCCGGCGCCAGCTGAGTGCGTTGACCGCAATGAAGAGTGCTAGAGTGACAGGCATCACCTGGAGCGGCTTCCGCATGTTCTTGCGCCGAAAGTAGGTGGCCAGCTCGTAGATACCTCTGGAGAGACCCGAAGGGGCGCAGAGTAGCGGCTTGGAGAAGTAGTCTCCCTCCAAATGAAGTCTTTTTGCGTGAAAGATAAAGAGTCACAGGACCAATCCATCAAATTGGGCATCAATTGATCATGTTTGTAGTGCTCGAAGAGCTTAATACATTGTTCAACAATATAGGTTTGTATCGGTTTGTCGTCCTATCCTCGCCTTCTAGGGAAAGAATGCTTGCAAATACCAGGATCGATTCCTGTGCATGGGGCGAATCTGAGAAACTATGGGTCTCATGTCTTGCACAAGTTCATACCCTCCAAAAGCTGTCATCTCTTTTTGAGGTCCTGGCCGTCCTGCCTCAGATGGACAACATCTGAAAACACATATACCTGGACCCGACTTCGTTCGTGCCTTAGAAAATGGGACATGACCCGAAGATCGACCACATCGCAGTCGATGGAATCCTGGACTACCCGGATTTTTACCGGTCGACTCCAGGTCGACTCCGGGCGGAACCCCAATTCTGTTCGGTATGTTCCTAGCCCAGACAATCGGTCTGGGTAGGGATCCACCAATGGGTTGTGGATCTTGGTCTATGTTCATTCTTCTATGCGGGGAACTCCGATGCTTCGTGTCCGTCGACCTGCCTGGCCCGCGTCCGTTCCGTCCGTTCCCAACCGCCGCAAAAGCGCGTCCGTCGACTCGCCCGCGCAGGCGAGTGGCACCAGAGACGCCGGAAGTATCGTGGTGACCACAGGATGGTCCTCAGCTTCTTGTTACTAGTAGCGTGGCACTTGTTACTAGTAGCTTCTTGTTACTACTAGTAAGGCACTTGTTACTAGTAGCGTGGCACTTGTTACTAGTAGCTTCTTGTTACTACTAGTAAGGCACTTGTTACTAGAAGCGTGGCACTTGTTACTAGTAGCTTCTTCTTACTACTAGTAAGGCACTTGTTACTAGTAGCGTGGCACTTGTTACTAGTAGCTTCTTCTTACTACTAGTAAGGCACTTGTTACTAGTAGCGTGGCACTTGTTACTAGTAGCTTCTTACTACTAGTAAGGCACTTGTTACTAGAAGCGATGCACTTGTTACTAGTAGCTTCTTGGTGACCACAGGATGGTCCTCGATTTTGAAGGCGATGTCCACCCAACGCGACGCGTGACGACGACGCGAAGCGGCTTCCACGCGAGTCGACGGAGGATGAAGGAGCGGTGAATGAACGAGACCAGTCTGTGGCGGTCGGTTGGTGGTTTTTGACTCACCAAACTCACCAAACACATCCAAATCAGTTTTGTTGTGGGGATTTGTGAGGTCCATCATCCCAACCGAGATGGACAATTTGGTGGGTCGGTCATGCAGGAGTCCTACATTTGGATTCAGATGGAAAACCGGAATGTGTTGCCGGTGTTTCCATTTCTTCCTCCCAAAAACCAGCTTTCTTCTTTCCAAATTTTGCCCCATCTTCTGTACCTGCAGCAGGGTCCTAGGGATTCCTAGGGGTCCTATGTCCGGTACTGCGAATTCTGACCCCCCACACGCTACCGAAACTCCCCCCTCCACAGTCCTTTGTGACCAACCGCACGAGGGAAGCACGAGGGAAGCTTCTCACCCAATCTGGAGAAGCTCCTAGAGATTCACAATGCATGTTTTACTTGTAAACAAAATAGTATACTCATGATGTTTTTTTGGCATTTCTTGGGGCCCAAACCGGGTGTGGGAGGAATTCCACTCGGTCAAAAGCGCTTTCTGCTCCCGGCGAACATCATCGGCCCCCAAAGATCAGGCTCCCGACCGGCTCCGGCGCCGCCGATCAACAAACGTCAAGAAACGTCCCTTCCCGACGAACGAACAGCCACGGAGCGTGAAGCAGGCCTTTCCCGGTCCCCGAACCGGGATTGGTGAGAAGGTCCGGACCCTTCCAAACGGTACGGCCCCCACTTGTCAGGGTCCAGCTACGTCGCGTCGGTCGATGGGATCTGTCCGGTTACGAGCTGCGGAACAAATTGTTGTCCAACCACACCTTGGCACTGACCAATCTAGCAGGCTCATCCTGTCCTGGCGTTCGACTACCCTGTCCTATATACTTACAGGTCTCCAGACAGGGCACCCGGACAGGAAGGTGCTAGGTACATATCGGATTCTAACATCTTCTGATGTCCCATACTACCCTGTCCAGATCTCCGATCCTCGAGTCCTCGGCACGGTCGACCGATGAGACGAGCGATTCGCAAAGGGCCACGACGTTCGGAAAGACCGAGACCAGGCAACCACCCCCCCACAACCCGGCCAGGGGGGGTTCTCTTTAAAACAACCACGGAACTGGAACATACTGGAACATACTGGAACTGGAACCCATGTTTGAAGAAGCAAACATCAACTAGAGATAATTATGCTGAGAAGAAATCTCTGGTCCAGCAGCCAGATTGCCCTGCTTTGGCAAAAAGAAGGGCTCCTTTTAGACTGACAACAAACAGCACCAGAAGAACACATCTGTTTTTACCAATGATCCAACCATCGACAGCGAGGCAACAAAAAACCCCGGCGGAGTTTCAACCGGTGTTTTTGGGCAAGTGGCAGTTCTCTCGAACAGTCCAGGAACGCGGCCAGCCCCAGAATTCCTTTCCTGACAAGCTCCATCTGTCACATGAGTCGAGTGACTCGTTCAACATCCAATTCCGCAAGACGGACCACATCCCTATAGGGATCCAGTCATACCTCCTGAGAAGGTAGTAACAAATGCCTTACTAGTAGTAACAAGAAGCTAGTAGAAACAAGTGCCACGCTACTAGGAACAGGTGCCTTACTAGTAGTAACAAGAAGGGATCCAGTCGTACCTCCTGAGAAGGTAGTAACAGGTGCCTTACTAGTAGTAACAAGAAGCTAGTAGAAACAAGTGCCACGCTACTAGGAACAGGTGCCTTACTAGTAGTAACAAGAAGGGATCCAGTCGTACCTCCTGAGAAGGTATGTGGATCCCTAAACCAGACCTGAACATGTTGAACGCAAAGAACAGTGGTGAACGGGTCTCCAATTGCATGATCCCAGCGGACCACGTCAGTGACCAATATCAGGGTATCGTATCATTCTAAAAAATTACAACAAGTGCATGTGTGGTATGGATTCTGGAACCATGCCCATCTAGGAAACTTCTATCCAGCATGGACATGCAAGTGTGATTCAGATGCCAATCAAAAGCATCCGTGGTAACTGGAAGCCATCAAAGATTATAACTGCGGTCGACACATTCGTCGGTCAGTCCTTTTCGGTTTTTCCTGCGGGCGGTCCAATTCAGTGACCAACCAACACACCAACCCACCACAGACCGGGTCAAACACGGGTAAAACGGGTATCCTCTCGGTCCATTCTCCAGGCGTCTCTTTCAAACTTGGATCGTTTTGAGCGATACACAGCCGGTCGAGAAAGACCATCCGAGGTCTCCAGAGTGAGCGAATCTTCTGCCAGAAGCACAAGAAAAGCAGAAAGGTCCTTGGCGGATGGAATGGAGAAATGACGTGAACGTGCCAACAAATCAAGGAGCAACATCTTACTATATTAATAGACTTGTCCATGGACGGGTAAATGATGGGTTTTGCACAGGTTTAAGGGTTCTGAGAGTTCCACTGCAGAACTGTTTTTTTTCCGCCTCTTCTATGCTCAAAGAGGAGGTGTTGGGAAACAGCTTGTCCTTGCTCAGGGTAGGCCAACACTCAACATTTTCCCATTAACCCGTAGTAACTTGCATCGAAGCGTTTTTTTCTCGCCCGCTTCGCGGGATGCTGCGCAAACACGCCCAGAATCCAGGACGGAGCGCCACTGGAGTGTGAAGATCCAGTGGTCGGGGGGATCTTGGACAAACAAAAACGGAACAAGGCTCTACCCCCAGACCCCAAGAGTTAAACGAGAACCCTTCGCTACGCATTCGGGAAAATCACTGGGGTCTCTTGGAACTCCCATCTCTTCATAAATCTACCAGGAGTCACATGTCCTTCGGGCTGCCGGCGAACGAAGGGAAGGAGTTGGGGTGCCCAACTTTCACATCCACGAGTGGATGGGACGAGGCAAACCATCCCAGCCTTTGTGACTTCATCGCTGGTTCTTCCGGTGTCACCTTCGAGACTTTCAGTGTCATTCCGATCATTCCACATTGTCCGAGCTATCGGCCATGGAGCTATCGGTTTTGTGGTAAGCTTCAGAGATCCGTCGTCCGTCTCAATTTGGAGACGCCGGCGATTGCGCGAGCGGCGAGCGCTCGGAACCGCCCACCGGCGCGTCCTCGAGTTCGGAAGACGACCTTCCTTTCCATGAAACAAGCAGAGCGTGCTGTCTGTTTACTTCCATGTCTGTGATGTTTACGGAAGTACAGAGTGTACCACCATTCTGGCTTTTGCCTTTGGCAGCCAAAGGACGCACAGACGCCAATGAGCAGCTGTTGTTTGGGTCGAATTGTTTGGCTCTGCTCCTCGGTTCGGTTTTGGCGACCTTCGCCTCGGCGGCGTAGGTGTAAGGCCAGTGTTCACGGCCTGGGCGGTGTAAGGCCTGCAGGCGGCCCATCGTTGGCTCCATCCATGTCGCCCCGTTGGGTAGTAGCATCCTTTCTCGCTCCGTTCGTAGCGATGCCAGTTTCGCCCCGAGTAAGTAGCGATGCCTCTTCTGCCTTTCTTGAAGGTGTTGACATTGACCTGTTTTGCCGGGGCGAATTCGTGTACATCAGATCATTGAGCAGGGGCCTACCCTCGAGCGGAGTCATGTAATTCGGTCCACGTAATTCGGTTCACGGTCGACATGGCACCATCAACTGACGAGAAGTCGACCTCTTGGCGAGTCAGCGAGTCAACTGACTCCCGAGCCTGAAGTCAACCAAACATGAATCCCATGCGACGCGAACTCCGGAGCCGAATGCTACGCTAGGGGTCGGGTCGACGGGTTTCTCAGCAAGCGGTATAGGATGGTATAGGGTTTTGAGGGACCAAGGTTGGACCAACGGAGCGTCTGGGGTTAACTTGTTTTCGACCTGTTGGCTTTGAGTAGGGAAACCAATCCCCCCCGAAAGGTGTGATTATAAACATGTAGCAGTTGGTTCGGGTCAATGAGCGTCTGGGTGAATGTTTATTGTTTGATGGTGCTCCACTTTTCCTGTGTTTCCTAGCCACTCACAATTGACCAAGCACAAGTCATCGCTGCCGCTGCCAAGGCCCGCAAACAAAGCCACCGATCCCATGCCAAATCCAGGGCTCGGCCCCGGATAGGGGTGGTTAATGGACATCCCTGAAACCCCCTAAGGGGCTATCTATATAACCCAAACACTCCATGTATGCCATATATGCCTACATTGGGGTGGTTTTGGGGGTCAATGTAGGCATATATGGCATAGATGGAGTGTCTGGGTAATAATCAGACCATGTTTTATAGGGTCTCCTGCTTTTCTCGGTCAAGAACCGAAGCTGTTCTGCTCAAGGCTCGCATGCGCCAAGAAGACGGTCCAGGTCGATTGTGGAAAAAGATCCAGTATACGGAAGAGGGCAATGACCAGAGTAACGATCCAAGTGGCCTGGCTCGCAGGTCCGCGAGCTCTTTCGCGAGCGCGAAGACCAAACGCGCCGAGTCGTGGTGAACACCGGACGCGAGCGGAGTCGCGTGGGTGTTTGGCGGAGTCGTATACCACTTGGAGTGGAGCTGATAGAGAAGTCTGAGACTAGTCTGAGGCATATTGGATTGAACTGGTGCCTTTGAACTAGAGATTCTCGACGGTATGACCAGCAAGGGTTCCTACACGATGCTACAAGGTCTCTGAACATTTAACCCAGATCTTCATGGTGCTTGGGACTGCACTTGAGAACTGCTAAAGGTTCCAAGTTTTTGATGGGTGAGCACGGTGAGCACATGCCTGCTGGAGACACAGTGGATCTTTCAGACGTCTGTTGCTTGTTTTCGACCGATGAAACTATGGCGACCATCGCTGATACCGTCGGGCTATTCTCTGCTTCACTTGATTTCACTGGTCGAAAGAAATCCCCAGTTTGTTCAACGAGGTAATAATTTTTTAGCCACTGCATTTGGAGCAGATGGCTCATTGAACGTGTGCAAACATGCTCGGCTTCCGGAACAATGAGCATCTGTGCAGCACAAGATAGATGCTAGGGATGTCCTAGAGAGATCCTCGACCGGTTCGGTGAGTTTGGAGAGTTCTCCAGTTCTTGAAACCATTAAAACGGATTAAAACCACAACGGTTGGTTTGTGGCACCAGGTGGATCAAAATCATTTCAAACTGTTACTACTTATGGCCTCCGGCCTCCACCCTAATAGCAATGGCCTCCAACCTAGTAGCTTCTAGTAGCGATCAAAGACATACTAAAAATTCAAAAAACTTATTGTTGCTAGTAGTGATGGCCTCCCACCTAATAGCGATGGTCTCCACCGTGTCAATCAACGAACCCATTGGGCCCAAGACTGGAGGTTTGAGGTTTCATCTCGACGGCTTAAACACCGCTAGGTGGCAATCGCAGCCGCCCTGGAATTGAAAAGGACCACCAACGTCAGCGCCTTCAGCCAGCCTGTGCCGCCAGGGTGGAACCGCGACGCACGAGTGGAGACGTTTTTGAAATTCCTTTTTGCCTCGTGGCGGTTGCCTCGTCATGCAGCACAAGGACAAAGGCGGACAAACGCGTCGCGTTTGTAGCTTGACATCACTCGCATGACTGCGAGGGTTGTATTGTGCCAGCAAATTCCAGCATACACCCATTAACCTGGCAGATCCTTACGTGGAAATACCTTATGACCTTCTTCATCCTTATCCCAGCACAAAGCCTCCTGGTTGAACAATGTTGAACATACTGGCACCAATCATTGTTTTGGGCCTCACCGTAAGACAAACACATGTTTGTAGGTCAAAAGTAGGATACCTTGGTTGATTAGATGGTGTTGGGGCTCCTGCAAGCATCCCCCGTTCCCCTGCAAGTATGGTGAATACTTATTATATATACTACTGGTAGCCATTCTCCACCATTCTCCCATGTGGAAATGAGGTCACTTCCGTCAATCTGGTCATTCTGATCGTTGCAGAACCGTGGTTTCACATGGTTTCACCGTTAAAAGAAGAAACCAGCACAAAGTCCGACGAAGTCCAGACGGTGAACGATTTAGTGATGGTGTCCTTTTCGGAAAACACACGCAGGCTCCACGGGCCTCCGATCTGCCTGGTCTGCCATTTCCACCTCTCCTTCACCCACCGAAAATAGCACATCTTCGCGCGGAGAAGATGTGGTTGTTTCGCGCGTGAAAAAAGCCACATCGACTCGCGGTCGGGCCTGCGGTTTGCCAGTCATGGCTCAAGAAATTGTCGATGCGCTTCGTGACCCGGCTCAAACGGAGGTCACCCAGGCTCCGGGGCTCCCGCTGTGCGAGGTACGTTCGCCACCCGACGATGCAATGGTGCAAGTTCGCACCTCTGAGGAGACGAGGCTCTAGCCTGGGCGCAGCGATGGCGGCAAGGGGTGCGTCTCGCTTTTACGACCCGTTCGGAATGCCCGCGCGCGCGGGGACCCGGGGACACAGCCCGGTGATGTTTGGGGGGGTTGCAGAAACCAAAAACGTCGAGAGACGTTAGACGTTATTACAGAAAAATGACCTCGACCCGGAATCTTAGGACCCGAATCCTCGTATGGAGGGGTCAGGGGTTTCCCACCAATCCGGTTTCGGGAATGTTCAGGCACGAAGCCGGTGATCAGTGGTTACTTCGTCTCGTTTTTGCAGAAATGGGCAGAACGTCTCACTGTCTCCATGAAATACAACTGCACCAAACAATTCCCTGCCAGGTGCAACCTGTCCAAACGTGCGCTTGGCCAACAGAACTCCTAGTAGTGTCCCTACCAGGACCTTCCCAGTGACCTTTTGAGATCCCAGAATGAGGTCACTTAGGCCTTGAAAAGGTCACTTACCAATCCTGAAGAGGTCACTGAGAAGGTCTTGGTATATTATGCATCTACTCCGACAGTCTGCGCAAAGTTTTTGCTGCTGGACCTGCCAGTTTTGGAGATGAATCGAAGCTAGGCTTCCAACAACCATTAAATAGGCTTTACCGAATCAACCAGGTCAACCAATGTTATTTAAATTGTCTTGGAAGTCTAAGGCAACAGCATTGGGTCATCTTGGATCCAAATTGCACACGTTGTTTTTTCTCGGCATTTGTTCAACACCCAGCATGTCGTCAGTCGCATGTATCTCGTCGCCGGAAGACAACAAACAAGAACTGGCCAAGGACTGCAGGTGTGAATCTGATACACTCCGACGAACACATCCCATAGAAGTAGATGGCACCTCTTTTTTCGTCAAGGAAAGTGTCTGATTTCAAGGGATGCCATCCACTTTCATTCATGTGTTCGTGAGAGTGTAGTAAGTGTGGTGCGGCCAGTGGCAGTTTGGAGGCCAGCCTAGGCCTATGAACCTCAACAGGCAGGTTATGAATACCTCATTACCAAGACCTTCGCAGTGACCTCTTCAGGATTGGTACGTGACCTGGGAAGGTCCCGGTATAGTACTCGCCCGAGCCGATTTTTGAGAAGAACACGGAGCATCGAGTTTTCAAGTTTTCGCAGCTTCTCCACATCAGAAGCTTTTACCCTCAACCCACTGGGCCCGAAATGGCGGCACTCCCTCAAGCACTCCCTGATTTTTTGCATCCTGGCAACCACTGTGACAGTGATCGAGTGCTCACAAAACCACCAGTCTGGCTACTACTCAAAGAGCTGTTTGCTTGGCAAACCTCTTCGGATGTATATGATACATCCATATCACGAGCCAAATTCATCGCTGCGGCGAAGCAAAAAACATATTCTTTTCACGTCAGACGGGTTCGTCTCCGGGACTGCCAGGACGGACTGCCGCCCCATAGACCCCCCAGTCAACCACCCCTGGCCGTTTCTTGGCAGTCCGTCCTCGCACTCCCAAATGGCGGTCGTGTCTGGGATTTGAACCCAGAAGACCCGTTTTCATCCCGGTTGGGATCCGTTTTCGTACCGAACCGAGAAGGTACGGTGATGTGTGAAGGCACTGTTATGTAGGTGCCAGGAGGGTCCAGTCGTACCGTACCGGTTCGGTACGACTGGATCCCTAGGGAATGGGTCCTTCGAGTCTCGTCTCATGGAGTCCCTCCACCAGACTGAGACTCCATACCAAGGACGCGGAGGATGCGAAGGTGGAGGCCATCGCTCCGTGACCCATGGGACTGCCAGTTCTACATTGGGGTGGCTTGAAGGGGTCAATGGGGCGGCAAATATATTCCAGTCCCATGGAGGCCATCGCTCCATGCGTTCTTCAATCAATATGTTTTTTTGTTCACACGTGGTCTGGGCTGTGAGCGAAGGCCGCAGTCCTGCGAAGGAACAGCGGAGCCTTAGCTCATCAGTCCTCAGATTCAACGAAAAAAAACGACTTAATAAGAAACAATGGAAGAGCATCTAAGACAGAAAGAAGAAACAATGGAAGAGCATCTTGGATGCTCTTCCATTAATTGATGCTTGGTCCTTCGATTCGCACTTCCTGAACCCGTCGCTTCCGTCGCGTCCGACGTCGTTCGACCTCTGTCGTGTGGTCGTCCGGCCGGTCGCGCGTTCGTCGCGGGTCGCCGCCTGGCTCGACAAATCGGCCACGAACCAAGTGAGGCTCGAAGCCTCCCAAACGATGCCTGGCGTGAGGTCCGGGGCGAACGGTCCGGCCCTGGGGCCCTGGGGCACAGGGTTTGGGACCAAAAGGTTTGGGAGGAGCAAGAAGAAACAATGGAAAGAGCATCTAAGACAGACGAAAGACATCTGAAAGACCAGAATCGAAGGAGTGCGACAGCCCTGCGACAGTAGCGGCTTTCAGCCAACAGTACCGCTCGGGAAGAGCGAGCGTAAGACCGACAGATTCGGACCTGACCGGACCAGAATACGACATGCCGAGTGGAAACCTCCCGAAACGGTCTTGGTTGTTCCACTTATGGCTTTCTTGAGATTCTGACCATGCAAAAATGTCTGGGAATGGGGAGGGAGTCCAGAACTGCTTCTGGTTGGGTCGAACCAGGAGTGGGCCCTGGCGTAACCCGAATCGGTGGATCCTTCGAAAGCTCAGAGCTTGCCAGATCACGAACCCTAAAAGCTCTGGAAAGACGAGGCACATCAAAAAGACATTTAATGAAGAACACGTCGTTTTGACCATTTTCAGTAATCATATAACATAGAGCTGTAGGGCCAATTCATTTGGACCGTAATTAGTCTTTAGTCGAACAGATCTGCAGCCACTGTAGGGCCATGGTCGTCTATGGTTGTGAGATGTTGTGAGTCTTCTCACCTCCAAATCAAGCGCCCTGCCCTCTCCACAACATTTGTCGACTTCTAGCCCCCCACGATAGCAGGGCAGCTCCAAGCAAGTTCGAAGTGAAGTCCCACGAAGGCCCTTTGCATGATATCCTTCTGCATGGCGAACACCCTTTTATTTAGCAACATGTTGCCAAATAGTCATGCCCAAGAGGGTTAAAGCACCAGACTATATAGCTTTGGTACTAGCTTTGGTACATGGTGTTCGCGTTGATCTCGATCTCTCCTTATAGTGGTTCCCTTACATAGATAGTGGCACGGTTTCCAATACATTTTGAGTGGAGATCTACATTACTGAGGTCTCTCCTTGGCTGTTTTTCACGCAACAAAAAGCCTTCGTCGATGTTTCCGGCACAACCGCTTTGCCCCAACCGACGACTCTTAGCGGTGCTCGCGAGCGACTCGACCGCCTATAGGCGGGCGACGACCGCCCTCGCCTGTTCAAGGAGCGCCACAAGTGCGTCTTCCGCGCGGCCAAGTCCATCTGGATTTCAGCGAAGCAGAGCGCGGCGAGTTGACGAAACCGATGAGCGCTTCGCTGGCGGCTAAACTGCTTGGGGAGCGATGGGACCGGACCAATGGGCAATTCAAGGCCACACCAAAAGGCCCAAGGCTAAGCCTTTTAGCCACGATCGGAGCGATCGGATGCTACTTACTCGGGGCTCCTGGCCTTACGAACGGAGCGAGAAAGGATGCGACTCGAAGGGAGCGAGCGCTCGGATGACAAAAAGGGAAGATCCCTCTGGTCACTGGATCATGCGTTTCTCACCGGAGACCCGCAGATCACATGTCCTTGCTCAGACCATCCATGAAGGTAAGGAATAGTATACATTGGGACCTGTAACAGTGGATGATGATGGTTAGTAAAGGCCTTGTTCAAAAAAAAATCAAACATATATATAGTGATAATTGTTTACTGAAGTATACATACATTTACCCCATTTAAGACACCAATCTATAGGTAACTATTCATATTCCATACATGTATTGTCTGGGTTGTTATTTTTACAGGACGGTTGTTCGCATGCCTTCCGCTGCTCGGATGAACAAGACTCCAAGCCAGTGCGCAGCTGGGACTTGTAGATCAAGCAAACTGGGAACAACTGGGGGCCTCTCAAATGCACTGATTTGTCTACCGAAATCCGATAGAAAGAACTCATGGTTTCGCGCCTCAGCCTGAAAAACCCTTTCAGCATGTTCCTGCTTCATCGGCCCAAAACACTCCGGTCTGTCATTTGTAGGACACCAATGTGACGCCGATATTTCAAATGGACCTGGATGGTCGAGGCCTGAACAAAAAGAAGAGCGAAGGATTTGTCTGGCAGAAATAGAGCACTGGACACCATTTTCAGACCCGACACATGATCTGGCCAATTCCCTGGATTCTCATTGGCAAATTGGATAATATCTGGTGTCGATACAGTTCCCATTGTTCAAGATTCCTCTCAAGGAAATTGCTGCCCTTAGTGAGGCAACTGAGAGGCCAGGCGCTCTGCTTGTAGGCCTGCAGCGCCAATGGCTTCAAAAGCAATTGGTATGCCTACAATACTCCGCTGCCTTAGCATCTGGGCTTGACAATAAAAAACATCATAGGACCGAAAACACCACCAGCACAAAAACCATGTTAACTGTTGAGTAGTATTCTATTCACGCTGGGGAGAATGGTGGCAAAAGAAGACTGCAAAGAAGGTACCCGACATCCGAGGACATGTCGATCTCCTCGTGAAAAAAGTAACACGGGTGTCGAAGAGGATTGGAAGAGAACCGGTGTAAACAACCATGCATATCAACCAATAAGAAGGCGCCAAACACAGCAAGGAATCCGAACACTCCAACACTCAATTGAGTCTCCTTGGACAAAGCATGAGAAGCCTGTACAGCTCCCAGACAAGCTTCCAGGGTCGCTTCATAACATCAACCGTAACAGAAAGACGACTATTCGGAAGGATGACACCGGTGCGGATCTCTGAGAGATAGCCCAAACGGGTGCCGCCATCCCCAGGCAGCTCAATGGGAAAAGTCCGTCCGAATTCAATCAGTGACACTGTCTGCTTGTATGGCCCTAGAATATCTTGAGAGGAGAGCCAAAGTCAATACGGCCAGGGAAATGATTCAGGGTCATCTGAAGGCCGCTCACAATGCTCAATCTCAATGCATGCTACACCGGAAACATCGCTGAGCGCAAAGATCAGCCAGATCAGCCACCCCTTGCTATCCAATCATCAACTACATGGGTGTGTATTAAAATAGGGAGACCTCCCAGTTCGACCCCCTGAAAAAGGGAAATAGACCAAAACCGATTAGTTGACAAAGCTTGCCGGGGATGTTGAACATCAGGCACAGAGACTTCACGACTTTCACAAGTTTTGGGTTACAGCCACGACCAAAGCTATGGCAAAGTCGGATAACCAACACAATTCGACTACACAGACAACACCTACTTTTGACGAATTTTTCTCACGACAGCCGTGTACTTATCCGTTTCATAACTTGGGTGACGATGTCGGCGACGATGCACCTTTCGGTAAAGAGTTCACGGACAGGTTTTTACAATGGTTCCAACACGTTGGTTTCATTGACAACGTTCCTGACGAACAGGCTTCTAGTTTGCTCGAGCTCTACGTTTCATTTGCACTATCGACAGGAACTATGACTCCGGTCTATGTTCGTGCTCTTAAGAAAAAGACTAAAGCAAGGCCTTCGGCCTATGTCCTTCGGGAGAACTCTCTTGCAGCAAACACTAGTGCGGCAGATCTGAACGGACAGCTTCGGATCTTTGTGCAATTCATGAAGTGGGTGTCTTCACACCTACATGCCTTTTCATTGTTTGCACCCGAGGCGGTCTTCGACGCTTGGGTTACCTTAGCGCTACCACTTACGTTAGTGGGCAGTTCGTTGTTCCGAACGGACATGAGGTTTGTACACCTTTATGGGAGTACTTCCATCAAGGAAGGCGTTCCGCTTACAATTTGAAGGCGGCCTGGCGGCCGGGAGTGAAGGTTCGCCACATGGATGAACCATATGGCAGTTAGCATTTTCCATTTTGCACGATGCTGAGGATCTAATTGTGTTCACCTTACGCAAAGCTGAGGGTGACCATGGCAGGCGACGCTTGCATGAAACGTCAAAGACCAAAAACCGATTGGTTGGGGGTCCCTCAATAAAAATATACACCCACATGTTCGGGGTCTGTCTTGGGAACATGCGATGCAATCTTATGCACGGAGCATGCCTCCCAATCAACAAACTGTAGAATGGTGAGAGCCTCATCCCAAGGTCCTTGTGTGACCAGTGTGAAGGGACAATGCCAGTTTGCCTGAGGTAGGAGAGTTTCTGTGCAACATAGGAGCTGTCCCACCAGATTGGGAATCGATCTTGTCTTTCTTCATTGCATCAACCCCTGTGGGTGGTTGACATCAGTGTGAACCTCACCTGACATAATGCCCAATAAGCATGACTTACCTGGCCCAGTGGATCCCAGTACCACTATATAAAGAACCAGGGATTCTAAGTCTATGGTTTTAGTCTTTGGAACCACTGGTTACCAGCTATATTATATAGTGGTAACTGGATCCCGGGTGGTTCATTGGCATTGATGACCATGGCCCAAGCGGCCTGATGACCCTTAGCTGAGCCACCAACATGCACCGCTCATGTTCCTGAGTTGCATGGTTGGATAGATCCTGATCTAGAGCTGTGGAGGCGCTGGAATGCAGCGAATGGCATGGGTTCCGCCACAAGCCTGTTCCGCCGTGCAGGAGGGCGCCGTTTTGAGTGTGAAGGCACAGGAGAGCTTCATTGCTCGAGTCTCTGATCAGCGAGCTGCGGCGCCTCCGATCCTGAGAAATGCCGGCCGCCAGTGGGCCAGCCCGCAAGTCCAAAGAAGGAAAGACAAAGCTCGGACGCAAATGCCTCAGGTGAAAACGGATCTTCAGCAGAGCGACACGCGACAGGCGACAGAGAGTTGCACGCTGAAGTCGTTGCAGTGAAAGCCAAGTGTTCCTGCAAACACGCGAGGGGAGGATGGTCCTTGGGCTAAACTTCCTCACAGCTGTTTCCACAATCCAACACTTTGCAGCTGCACACATGTTCATGCCCTCCACAATGAGAGAGAGAGAGAGAGAACTCACCGACCCACAAGTTTTTCAACCCAAAGTCAGGGGTGGTGGGGCAACTTCCAGTCTCAAAAGAGCCTCATCTTCACTAGTCAGCCCCATGTATGAACTTACCTGCCCACATGCTGAATTTCCGACCTCCGGGATGATGTCCGGCCTCTCAGGCCTATCAGGGCTACAGGCCTGTATCCAGGAAGAAGTCTTTGGGATTCCCCAGCAGTTCCGCAGAGGTCCCCCAGCCGCAGCCTTCAACGGCCGCCCGGGACACACGGGAACGGGAGAACTTCTCGAGAAGATCGCTTTTGAACTAATGGATGAGAATGGATGATGAGGAAGAGGATGATCATGATGATGAATGATGAAAAAGGAAGGAAGGAAGGAAGGAAGGAAGGAAGGAAGGAAGGAAGGAGAAACGATCCGTGTCAACCGTTGAAGATGAATGATGTGCTGACCCTGGGGCCGTTTTTCCATTATCCAGGAACGATGCCTCAAAAAGGTGCAGCGAAGCCCTCAAACAACAATTTCGATGTGTCCTAATCACGTGAAGTGCTTTTGACCTTTGACCCCCCCAAAACACACTTTGACCAACACGACTCATGGGACTGGTGTATATATACATATATAAATATATGCCTCCCCATTGACCCCCTGTTCAAGCATCCCAATGTATGGATTCATATGCCAGTCCCATTGAGGGTCCTGGGTTTGCACCATCTTGACCCCCATGCCTTCTGATGCGACTTTGACTTGTACCAGCGACGCTTCCGGTGAAGCCTCAGGAGGACTGTGCCATCATGTCCCATCTGTATTCATATAAATATATATATATATATATATATGTACCAGGACCTTCAAAGTGACCTTTTGAGATCCCAGAATGAGGGCACTTAGTCCCTGAAGAGCTCACTTACAGACTCCAAAGAGGTCACTTTGAAGGAATTAAATATACACAGTATACCGATGTATCCTGTATTTGTATATCATTACATTATATATGGTGTATTCTTTTATAGGTTGGAACCGTTGCAGGATGACCGTCTCAAAGTTGCTGCTTGCAGAAACCAATCACCGCTGTAAACAGGAACCTGTCCAAGGATTGTGTGCTTTCGTGTAGGGATGCATAAAACATTGCGCCATATAGGGTTAGCACCTCTAGCCTCTAGCCTAGAATGCCCAAACCAAACACTGTTACAACATGTTACAGCATTCCAACCACAGAAACAATATACCATCGTAGAGAAAACGGGGGCGGTGGTGAAACAAGTGAGAAAACACATGCTGGTGTGCTTGATGGCTTCAGCAGCAATACCTCAACCCAAAACGATCACCGCGGCCTATGCGGTAACCTATACCAGCAACCAAGTGACCCAAGTGTTTCTGGCCTTCCAAGGAGGAAAAACAATGCTTTCTTGACATTTCTTTGTGGGATTCAGGCTATTAAATCAATGCACCGTTCCGCTTTGCTTTTTCATCCAATAGGCCAGGTAAGTGACTCGACAACTGCAACGAT